CCAATTTTTTATTAATTAAAATTTGCCCCCGACCCTATTCCGATCGATTGACTAAGGCACTTGAGAACACCCTAAAACTATACCATGCACTTAGAGAGAATTTATAATGCGTGCACTTATCGCTATAGAAAATGCACTTTGAAGTGTCGCTATTAAAATTTTAGAAGTCAGGATATGGTTAGAAATCAAAGATTAAGAGCATTTTTATTTATGATTTATTCATATTTATTCATATTTATTCATACAGTACTTCAACTTTCAGTAAATAAAAAAGAAAAATATTTCCTTATCGTTATCCCTTAAACTGTCGATTTAACTACATATTTACTACGGTTTAGATATAATTTGACAGCTTGATCACAGATCAATCATGAAATTTCTGGGCAAATTTACCTGCTAGACAGTGTAAGGGATAGAAATTATTTGTATTTTTACTAGTCTCAACAAATTTATACCTGGAAAGAATAGTTATGGCTGAGATTGTAATAATGCATAAAAAAAAAAAAAAAGCTTAAAAAAGTTGGCATTAATACTGTAATAATGAATAAAAAACATCTGTAATAAAAAGTACCGACTACCGAATTTCGGTCAATAATACGTATCCTCTTGTTCAAAATTCCGCAACTATTAATTTAAGTCAAATTGAATAACTAATTCCTTGAAATTAAATTCAACACGAATAATCATAGTTAAACTCTGATTAAACTGCGAACCCCATTATGGTTCATGTCCAACGTCTGGCAAAAATATGTCAGACATTTTCATCAAACATGATTCAATTAAATTATTTAATCAAGATGTTGCACGTGGTGTTTATTTCCCACATCGTTTCGAATAGATCAGGGACCCAATAAAGCTCAGTATTTTGTAATTATCCACTTTCACGACTTTTTCACGTAAAGATTTCTCCCTGTTAAAGGTTATAAATCCACCTCGCAATACCAAACCCAATGTATTAACTTTTCTCTCTGTTCTTCGTTTGAATAGATCTGATATTTCAACATTTCAACACATAACCATCTGTTTGAATTTGAAAAACTCAAACCACTTTTCATTCGAATAACCATCTTTCTTTTCAAACACGTAACAAGAGCATGATAATTTTCTGATTCTGATGTCTTACGATTACATTTCTCTACGCTATCGAATTTATTTGGAATTTATAGAATCAACGATAGTATAATCCCAGAACGGACCATGATAATAGTTTTCTTTCGTTTCGATTTCCTTTTTTTTTTTTACCAAAACTTAAACCTAATCTCCGCATCGATCATGAATCACAACATTCATTCATTCATACTATATATATACATATTTATAAAATTTTTTTATTATATAGTGTATAATGCTTGATTCGTTTAACAATATTCATATACCGCAATAAAACAGATCGCTATGGAGTGTCTTGAATAAAAGTAACGCCTTACTAAAATTACTAATTTCAAAATATTATTCCTCATTTATTCTTTGAAATTCCGTTGATTACATCATTAAAATTTTTAGACTAATTGAATATTTTAGGAAAATCTACGAAGCTGTTAAATCCTCGAAAAAAAATAAATTTCTAAATACTTACAAGTTGGATGCCTAGATAATTTGCACCATAATAGGTCGTAGAAGACTTATTGTTATTTTTGTAAATCAAATGTGAATCTTTTTTCATGTATTCATTTGCTCATAATCTGTACTTATGTTGGTTAAAACAGAGAAAGTTATTCATATCGACTATGTGCTTTGTTGGGTAATGTAAACTTGCTTCGAGCTCGTGTAACGTAATATGAGATATGATTATGTGCTGAGTTCATTATAGAATCGTAATACCGTCAGTACTAATAGTTCTAAACATTTTGAATGGTTAAAGCCTCAAAATCTTAATGAAAAACTTAAACTATTCATAGATGCAAGAGAAGGAAAAGTTCCTAAGGATAAGGATAAAAAACTACAAAGCTCATGTGTATGGGAAGATGGTAAATTTCTTCGAACAGTTGTATAGTTAGAATTACGGTTAAAAGGTTTACATAGTAAAGTACCTACAAATATAATCGGTGAGAATATTGACGAAGCTTTGACAGCTCGAAAAAATATAATACAAAAAAATTCAAAAGAAACTAAAAAATCGTCATTGTCATTTAAATCTAAGAAAGATTTTCAGCATACAATGACCATTTATGTACAAAACTTTTCAAAAAAAAATTGGAATCATTTTTACCCTATTTATCTTTATAATTCTCAACTTTATTATCAAAAAGGTATAAACCTAATAAGTTTGAAGGACTGCATTCATTTCACTTTGAAGCAATAAATGGCCATCGCAAAAAATAAACTGTGATTGCAAACTTACGTATATACAGTACAAATGGAATTTCATTGGGTATACGAAACCAATAAGCAGGTCCGTGAAACTCAATCGGATGCTAATATAGTTTCAATTGATCCAGGAGTTCGTACTCCAGTAACATGGTATTCTCCAACAAAAGGTGCAGGCAAAATAGAAAAATAAGATATAGGACGTATCTTTCGTTTATGGATAATTTTATATAAAAAAAAGTTAGATTGGTAACTTCAACCTCGAAACACAAAAAGAAAAAAGCATTACGTGTTGGCAAAGCCATTTTTCGTATGAAACGAAAAATTAAACGACTTCAGAATGAAATTCATCGAAAAATAATCAAGTTCTTAACTGATGAATTTGACATGATTATTATTCTTCCTTTTGGGGTTTCAACTATGGTGATAGAAAAATACGAAAGATAACAAGGAAAACAGTTAGAAAGATGCTTTGTTGGTCCCATTATAAGTTTCGGTAAAGGTTGATTTCGAAAGCTGAGGAGAAAGGAATTCAAGTAATAATTCAAAATGAAGCATATACAACAAAACCATGTAAATATAAATATTGGAGGATCGGAAATATATAAATGCAAGAATTGCGGCATAGAAATAGATAGAGATGTCAATGGCGCCCGAGGGATATTCCTTCGGGCTTTGCTTGATGGAGTCATGATCTTGCCATAAGACATTTTCATGCAGAAAATAATATCATTATTTAGTATTGATATGTTAAAATCCATCCGTACCAAATGCTAGACCATTTTTGAATAAAACATGAAAATTAAACTTGTTGGAACCTAATTAACACGTGGACATCTATAATGGGTGAAAGTTGGATGTAATTTTTACAATAAATTCTTTAACCAAGGATTACGTTATAGATATAATTACGACATATTTGACTTTTTTTAAAACCACAATGACTGCATTTTTCATGCTGATTTCAATCCATTGTAAAATAATGACTTAATGCAATTAAAATTAATAATCATATATATGAGCGGCTATTTAGACAAATACCATGATTTTTTTTTTTTTAAACATACGATTTTTTTTTTTATTTCTTTTAATTCTTGATAATTCTTGAAATTTTTATTTGAAATTATGACATCTGTGAATCCTTCTAACACTGCAACTCGTTCCGCGTCTCAACAACCAACTGTTCCATCAACAGCCCAACAACCAACTGTTCCATCAACAGCCCAACAACCAACTGTTCCAGCAACAACAGCTCAACAACCAACTGTTTCATCAACAGCAGCACAACAACCAACTGTTCCATCAACAGCAGCACAACAACCAACTGTTCCATTAACAACTCAACAGTCTTTCGACCAACAACCAACTGTTAGCACTAATGTTGCTCAACAACCCACTGGTGTAGGTGGCGTTTCTGTACCACAAGTTCCATGTTTTGGTCGAGGCCAAGGTCGTGGTCGTGGTTTTACATCAGGCGGTCCAGGATTATTCGAAGTTTCTCCAGAAGGTGAAATTCTTCATGAAGGAATACCACAAAGTAAAGAACTTGAACATCTTGCTCAATTAAAAGAGATTGCATCCGAACATGCCCGTCAAGAGTCTTTAGGCGCTTATGGAATCCCTAAAGGCAGTGCTGCTAGTCTCGCGCGTATGTAATTTTTATACTGTATCATTTTATTTTATTTATTTTTCTTTAATGTTGTATATAAATTTAATTTTTTATTAGAATCTGCAATGGGTAAATACGCGACCGCTATTAGGTATATTATCAAACGATTAATGATTTTAAATGTATAAAATTAGAAATAATTACTGATGATAAAAAAAAACATTTTCCATTTAAAATGGTTATTTAGCAAAGAAACTGGTATTCCTCCATTGTCAGTTCAGGGTATGGTCGCACCTGCAGACACAGTTAATGAAGATGAATTGGTTAAAGAACTTAAGGTTTGTGTTACGTTTATATTTTTTTATATATTTTTATAATATATAATTTAAATTTATTATGTAGATTTATTTATTATTTTTAATTCACTTCACAGGAAGAAGCGGAACAACGACGCATATACGAATCGACACATATGGGACGTGTTCCTGTAGTTGGACCTGCAAATAAAGTCGCTGAAGCTGCCGAAAAACTTGAACATGTAGTAAAAATTAATAAAGGTGAAGAAATTTCACCTATTGCCCAATATCGAAAACCTATAATTGCAAATAATAACCGTTCAAGGGCAATAATTACAACTTCTATTTCTGAACAAGGTGAACTACTTCATGAAGGTGTTGCGCATAGCAAGGAATTGGATCACCTTGCCCAATTGAAGGAAGTTGCTGCGGAGCATGCTAAACGTGAAGGTACGGTAGCCGGTGTTCCTCGTGGAAGTACTACCTCGGTTGCTCGTAAGTTATTATTTGACTTTTTAATTTCTTAATTTTTGTCTTGATGTTTATTAACCTTGTTTTTTAAGAATCCGCTATGGGTAAATATGCCACTGCTTTAAGGTTAATATTATCTTTTTATTGCTCTTATTAATGTTAAGAATGAACCTAACAATAAATTTTCTTACAGTGAAGAAATTGGTGTTCCAGCATTAACTGTTCAAGGCATGGTTTCTCGCACGGGTCGTCCTGTTGATGAGCGTAAATTAGCAGAAGAGTTGAAGGTATATTCTTAATTATGATTCGTCGTTTTTCTTTTTTTTAAATGTTTTTTCATTATGCATTATAGGAAGAAGCACAGCAACGTGCAGATTATGAGATGAAGTTCTTTGGCAGCGTTTCATCTACGGGACCTGCAGCAAAGGTTGAAGAAGCTGCGGAAAAACTAGCTCAAGTTCTGAAAATCGATGATGTCCAAGTCCCAACAAGCGTTCCTGATCAACCAATAACTGACACTTCATCCGGACGACCACAAGAAAAAACTGACTCATCCAGTCAACAATCTGTGCAACGAAGTATTTCCGCTTCGCGAACTACTGCTGATGAGCCGCAAATTAACGAATAAAGTCAAACAGATCTTTTTTTTTTTTTTAAAAAAAAAGAAGTTTATTATAAATGATATTGATATAATCTCAAGTTAATCTTTAGTTCAACGACAATAAGCCAAATTAGAAATCCATGCAAATGATAATTTAATGTCTTTGTGATTACGATTGCTATATGAGTTGATTAAGAATGTAAAATGCATAGCTCTATATAATAAATACAGATTCTATATTGAACTGACAGTACATTAGTAATTAACGTGCATTCTCTAAATTTAATTTGCTGATTTTATATCATTGCATTTAAAATAATGTATTCACGTCTAGTTTTCGCACTTTCATGGTTTTTATGTACTGTACGCTAGAAATCTTTTACTACTTTGCATTTTATGGCGTTATAGTATAAGGAATTGTATTATTTACAAAAGACATTATCACGCTTTATAATTTTGTCATCATTGTACAATAATATTTTAAAGAATGATTTTTTCGTGTATAATACAGATAAGTTACTCGTTGTGGTGAACTTTCGATATAAAGACTAATTAAAAACCTCGGCATCGTGAAATTAGACTCAAAAGCTAGTCTATTAGAATTTTCTTTTGATATGTTGAATTGTTAAAAATTTTATTGATAGAATCAGTCATTTACTTTAACGGTGTTACTATATGAGTGACGCCAAGGGAAAAGGGAACATTCGTTTTTATTGATTATCTGATGATCGAGAGGTTAGTTTATCATAATTGAATCAGATAAATAATCAATAAAAACGAATGTTCCCTTGGCGTCACTCATATTCGTAGATATGGCATGCTTTCAAAAAATATAGGATAAATTTCATTAAGTTACGTGAATTCGGTGTAATTTGATTCCTCACTGATTGATGCTAGGACTGTAAAGCACAAAAGATTCTTTTTTCTACAGTAGTTAAATATATTATTTCCTGTAAGGTCTCACCTTTAACATTAAAAATATGTTTACTAGTAATTGAATAATAAATTAGTACTGTAAAATATTTATTATATATAAATATTTTATTATTAATTTTGTTTTTAAATTAGTAAATTTAATATAAAAAATTTATTATATTACGGTAAATATATTTAGCAAACTATATTTTATTTCATCCCTATTACATTCGTCCCTCCTATACATTCACAATTACACCAGATTAGATACCATTTGTTTTATTATTGAAAATCCTCTATATACAGTCGGATTTCTCTAAGATAGGTCTATATGAATAAACAGAAAATTCTTATATTAAGAGAGGTATTGCATTTAGGGAGATAAAAATCTATAAGTAAAGCCATGCATCTAGAGTGGTTTTCATAAGTTATGCATTTAGGGAGGCTATATTTAATGAGGTCTGTCTATAATTACAAAAATTTATAATCATTACTTCTAATATCGAATGTTTAGGCTATAAATAATATGACAAAAATTATAGATGGCTTTATTTGGTTTAAATTTTTTATCGTAAAATAATGTGTTACAATATTTTATCAATCACCCCGAATTTTTATCATGTTTGATAGAGCAGAGTATAATTTATACCAAACTTTGTTAAACCCAAAAGGTAGTTTAATAATAAAATTTTGAAATTTCAATATTTTTATGCAGCGTTCAAATAAAATAAAATAAATAATAATTTTTGAGACATTTTTAAAGGTCACCATATTGGTTTAATAGTTTTTTTTTCACTTATTTTGTGCATCTAGCAACTATAAAGGCATTTAAAATTAAAAATCAAAATTTCACAATATAAGGCAAAATAAAATTAAAACTATGCAGAGTTGTATTTTTATTTACCTTTCTTGAAATTTGTCTATGACCAAATATCTCGATGGAATCAATAGCTTTACGAATTTCTGACAATTCATTGACAGATAATTGTATGTTGGCAGCCCCAACATTTTCTTATAGGTACTTAATTTTCTTTGTTCCAGGAATTGTAATAATTTTATCACTCTTTTAATAAATTTAATTCAGAACAATTATATGTAAATGGGAATTTTTATAAAAAAAAAAAATTTTTTAAAAAGGAAGCAATTAACAAAAATATATTTTTTTTTATATTTGTAAACATTACCTGAGCTAAGTTCCAAGCCAAACAAAGCTGACTAAGAGGAATTTCTTTCTTTTTTGCAAAATCATTTAATTTATCAACAAGCACCCGATTTTTGTCAAAGTTTTCACCCACAAAACGTGAATGGCTTGTGCGAACATCTCCCTTTTCAAAATCATTGGTAGAATTATATTTTCCCTAAATAATATTTAATTATAGATTTTTTTCTTCTTACTAAACTTTGTAATGTAAAACAATAGAATTTCTTTATATTTACTGTAAGGAACCCATGGCCTAATGGGCTATATGAAACAATTGTAATTCCAAGTTCTTCACAAGCTTCCTTGAGTCCGTTAGTTTCAATATCAAGGGACCACAGACTATATTCAACCTTTAAAATTGAAGATATAATCAAAAAAAATCACATACATATATAGAATTTGTATATTTATTAAATAATCATATTTTTAAATAGTTATATAACCTGAAGAGCAGAAATCGGATGAACTTTGTGTGCGCGTCTAAGGATATCAGCAGTGCATTCTGAAAGTCCCAGATATTTGACTTTGCCTTCTCTAACAAGTTCAGCCATAGCCGTGACAGTATCTTCAATTGGGCTTATGTAAAATATATATACATTTCTTTTAACAACTAAAACAAAACGACGTCAAAAAACTATATCTCATACATACGTATTAGGATCAACCTGATGTTGGTAATAAAGGTCGATATAATCAACTCCTAATCTTTTCAAACTTTTCTCACAAGCTTCACAAACATGGTTTGGGGTTCCATTGATTCCAGAAATTTGGCCATCTGGGGAACGCATTATACCAAATTTTGTACATAAGAACACATCATGACGACGATCTTTGAGAACTTTTGAAAGGAGTATTTCATTGTGGCCGATGCCATACGTATCCTTTGAATATAATGAGACAGATGATAAAATATATAATTTACATGTATATTTAACTGTATTTTTTTCATAAATGAAAAAATTAACAAGCGTTTTAACCATCACACACAGGTTGTATACGTACTGAAGTATCCCAAAGATTACATTTTAATTCAAGTGAACGATTTAGCACATTTATATTATCAACTTCATTGCTGGATCCATAAAATTTGCTCATTCCCTATAATTGTTTAAATATATATATATATATAATAATGGATTTATATTCAAAAATTATCATTTCTTACCATGCATCCAAGTCCAATGACAGGTACTATAATGCCTGACTTTCCAAGTTTACGTAAAGGCATAGACATTTTTACTACTTGATATTTTTAATCATATAACGTCAGAAAGTAAAAAGATCAAAATTACTAGTAGTTAGGTACATTCAAATGTTTGTGCTTCTATGTATATAAAATATATTTTTTTTATCCCTTAAACCGTCTAGCAGGCAAATTTGCCTGCTAAAATTATTTTTAAAAAGTTTTTCAAAATTTATTTAAGCTTGACCCCCCCTATTTATTGAATAGAATTAAAGATATTTCTTTTATATATAATATATTTAAATTTTATCATTCTATCCTTAA